ATCATTACAAGTTTTGTTGATTGGCTATGACTCATAACTGGACAATCACTGGTTGATATTATTTTGAACTGTCTCTTGGAGTCAGCATTTCATTTAAGGTATTATTTGAAAATTATCCAATTGTCAAAATCCAGAAGATAATACATTTTTACTAATGGCACAGCTTGGGAAAATACACTCAAAAATGGTACCATGTGGGCTTCCCTGGTGGCACAGTGGTTGAGAGTCCACCTGCCGATGCAGGGGACACGGGTTCGTGCCCCGGTCCGGGAAGATCCCCCGTGCCGCGGAGGGGCTGGGCCCGTGAGCCATGGCCGCTGAGCCTGCGCGTCGGGAGCCTGTGCTCCGCAACGGGAGAGGCCGCAACAGTGAGAGGCCGCAACAGTGAGAGGCCCGTGTACCGAAAAAAAAAAAAAAAAAATGGTACCATGTGAAATTAAATTGTAAAAATAATTAGGGTCAGCTAAGATGATTTACCACTGAATACACAGAATCTAGAAAATCAGAGTTAAATAGACAAAATTATTTTAAAATAATCTAAAATGATTTATATTCCATCCTATGCCATTTATACAATGCCAAGATGCTGTCTGAAATTTAAGCAATATTTTGAGTTTCCCAGAGAAACTCAAAATAACTGGTCTGAGTTTTCTCTAAATTGACTCTTAAAACAACAGATTTTAACATGAATTTGTGGCTACATAAACACAGCCTAACTCTTTCAAAAATGAAGTTATTTTTATACTGGTAATTATAACATTATACTTTTAAAAGCTTTACACTGACTCAAAAAACCATACAGACTTCCAATGAACTTTTGCAGAATATCATAATTTGATCAATCAAGATATTTAAAAACATAGGGTAAAAAAGGGAAAATTTTTAAATGCTCACCTTCAATTTATTACATAGGTCACTGTTATACCATCTAATAAGATAATTAAAAACATGCAAGCAGCTGGTACTACAGCTAAACAGATTAATGTAATAGTCTGTAGTCATATGTGCTGGCAAGGGGCTCGCCTCTTTGGAGAGGAGAAGGTCAGCTGCCCTTGGGAAGAGGAGGGGGGATGGGGAGAGAACGCTCCTACCATGTGGCCCTGTGCTACAGTCACTAAGTTAAACATCTACTGCAAACTGTTCATCGGCAAACTACTTCTCTGCTCTCATACCCTCAGTCTGAAAGGGTCTCAGTTTTAATGGTGAAATAAGAAACAGAGAAAGCTCATTTAATCTAACAGAAGACATTAACACTAGTCTTTAAAAAGCACAAGGTACACTGCATAAACCAGTAATATCTTCTCAATTCTTCTAATCTTTCCATTTTACCACATCACCTGCAAATTAGTTGGGAGAAAAACAATTAAATTTTAACAGAAACTTCCAAAACAAGATCTAGCTATTACCCAGGCACCATATAATCATCATACTGGTGCCTTAGGAGTTAAATGCAGCTGTACTCTATCTGAATCAAAGAAGCAAACCACAAGAGACACAAATCCAAAGTGAAACCTCCTAGCCTCTGAAAAACAAATCTATGAGCCTTAGGCACATAAAGCTATAGATACGGTCCATTGATTGTAAATTTCAAACTTTGTCAAAATTCCAAAAATCCACCTCTGAATTTATACTCATAATAAAACATCTTCTTCTTATCTCTACTATGTGTACAAATGTGTTATACAAAGGCAACCTGGAATATACAGCAGAGACAGAGTATCAAGCCTCAGGTTAAGCTTGTTCTTAGCCTCCTTTCTGCTAAAAAACAAAAGTTACTTTCCTGTAAGACATTTTGTTTTTAAATCTTCCTTTTGGTGTCTCTACATTAGCGCATGGTAAAAATATTCTACAATACCAGAAGATTAACAATGATGACAATGATGAGGATGACATGGACTGGAAGATAAAAGCAGCTAATATTTATTCAGCATCTGCCACACAACATTAGCCCATTAACTCCTTGTAACAAATGTGTTTTATTATCCCCACATTCAAGGTGAGGAAACTGAACCGAAGACTTGTCCAAAGTCTCCATTTGGAGTCAGGATACGAACCAACTCGCTATGTTTAGATATTATTAATAAACAAAAAACAAAACAACAACAACAAAAAAAGAGACTGTGCCCTCTTATAACTGACCATCTAAGACCACAATAATATAAACAAATAATGGAAAGAATATAGACTTAGGTGACCAATTCAAGACTGAACTGGAAAGTTAATAAAACCTTGGCACATGCTATAAAAGGGTACACACGTGGAAGGTTAAGTGAACAATAAGGCAGCAAAGTTGCCAGTTCACATGAGGTAAGCACAAAGAATTAATAATATTAATGCATGGCTTTGCATTTAGATTTTCAAAAGGCTTTATCTTATACAGTCCTATCTCGATCTTTAAAACAGTTGTGGGAAGGAAGCAGGTCAGACATTATAATGTCCATTCTGTAGATAAAAAATTAGAGCTAATCATTATCCTAAGGCACAGCATATATAGCTTGAGTATCCTAGTACTAGGTTGACAGCCAGAATTATCTGCGAAGAAAGTTCAGGATTTCTGAGGTGGTTTAAAACACCAAGGTAGACTTGTTAGGCTAAAGATATTTGACGGTTGGAACATTCACATTTTTCTAATAACCTATTTCTACTTGCTTTAAAAGAGCTCCGATAGTAATGGAAAAATAATTTTCATTTTCAAAAGTAAATTTTATTGACAATTCTGTTGCCATTTTAGTGGGATTCTGCAACAATTCCTAGGTTTTATCAGTTAACCTGATATGAAAATATACCCTAGAGCTGTGCTTCTATGAATTCTGCATTTAACCCAAGTGTCAAATTCACAAGTAAGCTCATTATATTGTAAGAGCTATTGCCTACTCAGTAGCAAAATGTTCATTTCACACCTTAAATACTATACTACTATTTAATAACAGCACTGGCCTGCCAACTATTAAAAGCTCATTTTTATACACTGTACTACCTGAGCTTTTTATCTTGCCTTTTTACTTACAACCATAAATTAATATCCTAACATTACAACACTGACAGGCATTGATTAAAACCGTATTAGTTAACAACATTAGTATTTACTGTGCAAAGTTGCATTAGGAGTTTATTTTCAAAGTACAATTATCATTCAATAATACTAAGATACTTTAATCTTCAAACTACTCAAGAACAAAATAAACTACCAGATAACACTGTGCCTTCATATTAACACATTTCTCTTAACTTGCTGTCCATTAGTTACTATAATTAGCTAACTACAAATGTAGGTATGAAGTATAATTCACCAATGAAGTTGATATATACATATGGGTTTTCCTGCCTTTGAAATACATCTTTATTTTCCTTTTGTCTTGGATTTTTTTAAACTGTATTTATATCTAATACTGATATTCCCACCATGGATTTCACACATATTATCATCTTAGCATTCCTCAGTTACATGACAAACATGAATATTTATTTAAATATCTTTTATAGAGAGTTCCCTGGTGGTCTAGTGGTCAGGATTCTGCACTTTCACAGCTGTGGCCCAGGTTCAATCCCTGGTTGGGGAACTAAAATCCTGTAAGCTGTGCAGCATGGCCATAAATAAATATCTTTTTTATTCATCTTTCTTTTTTTTTTTTTTGGTGTGATCAACGTGTTCAGATAGAGGATTCTACCTATTATTTAATATGTCAAATTCCAAACTTTATATTACACTTCAGCACTAAAAGAAGGTTCTGGAGAACTCCAACATTTATAAGGTGGGATGGGTACAGAGAAAATAGAATGACAACACGTGAGCTTTTACTGCTGTTATAATATGCTTCTAGAACACCATGGGAACATAAGCCTTCTGTAGTATCTGTGACACTTGAATGACTGATTATTTATAAAGACCCCAACTGGTATAAAATAAAGATGTCAAGCATCTCAATTACCACCTCATTTCTGGAATTCATAAACAAACTGTAAAAACTTTCACAATTACCACACTTTTATTAAGTGCTTCCTGAATATAAGGCCCTACTCTAGATGTTAACAGCTTGCCTGGGATCTGAAGAAACAAATGACACATTTCCAGCTAGGTATACAGAATATGTGTTCAAGAAAAAGATAAAGATTCTCAGCATAAATTCCATACTTATTATAGAAAAGAAGGAATTATAGCTTAATATTCAAATGAGTTTCCAAGTGTACAGTGGTTCTTGCATATATTTTATAGCATCAACACACAAGTATTGGAACTTATTAACCATAAGGGCAATGTACTCCAATTAAAGTACTTCTTCAAGAATCTGCATTGCTACCTATAATGCCAAAATGTATTATTACTCGATCTCTACTTTTTATTCCCCAAAAGAGAACAACCTAGTTCTTACATCACTTTGGTTCAGTATATGAATTTTCAAATATTACTGGAAATACATTAATCTTTCTTCTTCCTAGGTTTCCCTGTTAAGAAGATACAAAATATATAAACATTTACTCAAGCAAATTCAAGTTATAAAGAGAATAGTAACAAATAACTAGATAAGATGCATGTTTCCTTAATTGCTGTATCCGTTTTAAAAATTGTTAATTGAGATGTAACTGCCCTGTTTGCTGAAGAGCCAAACGGGATGTTAACAAACAGCACTTAATGTAACCACGGATTATATTTTATACTCTCTGAGATGCTCACAAGCAGTACACTCTGTATTAGCAGGAAACTTAAACAAAGGAAGCCTTTAGTACTATAAGAGATATACTGGAAAAACTAAAACAAAAATGGATTATATTGAAGCTTAATACTACATACGCATTCATTCTAACCATCCTACTCTAGGATGACGACAGATATCTACAATAAGTCCATCTACTCAAGAACTAAGAATGTTACATTTTCAATTACTCAATAAGTCTGCAGGACAATTGCATACCACAAATATTCTTCACATTTGTCAGATTTTTTAGAACCCTGTAAGATTAGATATCTTGTAATATTATATATCTACGTATTCATCACCTACCTATAGGAATTAAAAGTTCCATCAGAGTCTAAAGTAGAACTTGTTCTTCTTCCATTTTGATTTGAATCTCCTGGAAAAAAAAATTAAAAATACTGAGATTATGAAACTTGAGTATTCCAGTTGAAAAGCTACTGTGTGACAGCTCCACGCAGTTACTGAGTCAAAACAACAAATATCGCCTTATCCCTCCCCCAAATATCTTTTGTAATCAGAGTCCTTTAAACAAAAAATTCATTTTGATGTTAAAATATAGACTAACACCACCACTCCTAACTTGGATAGGAATACTACAGAAGTAATTGCAAACAGGAACAAATGAAGTATAATGCAGCCATCTTCTGCTTATGATTCACAGACAAAACCAAAATTTATACACCATTTAATCACAAACTAATGCTTATAAACAAAGGGCAACTTTTTATTAGTGTCCTGTCCATTGGCAGAGTCAAAAGAGAGCAGGCAGACAGCAGACATGGAATACCCTCCCCCGGCCCACCTCACCCCCTGGCCCCCCAGTCCTCCACTCTCTAGGAATCTGGTCTGCAGAGAGGGAGAACAGAAAGCTGGGAGGTGGTGATCAGGAATGCATTCTATAAAGACGCAGACCTACCAGAGAATGGACTTGAGGACACGGGGAGGGGGAAGGGTATGCTGGGATGAAGTGAGAGAGTGGCATGGACATATATACACTACCAACTGTAAAATAGATAGCTAGGGGGAAGCAGCCACATAGCACAGGGAGATCAGCTCGGTGCTTTGTGACCACCTAGAGGGGTGGGATAGGGAGGGTGGGAGGGAGATGCAAGAGGGAAGAGATATGGGGACATATGTATATGTATAATTGATTCACTCTGTTATACAGCAGAAACTAACACACCATTGTAAAGCAGTTATACTCCAATAAAAATGTTAAAAAAAAAAAAAAGAATGCATTCTAAGGAGCTTTTAATACATCTTAATAGTCTTCCCCAAACTTTATGTTTTAACTGTGGGCAAAAGTCCAGCAGTTTAAAAAAATAAAAAAACAACAACATCAAAAGGTATTTCTGCCTCATGTAGTAATATCAAACTTTTAGGGAAAAAAACCAATTCCTCTCAAGCATATTCATAAAATCAGATTAGAACAAATTCATACCTATCAGTTTAGAGATCATAGAATAAGAATAAATTTGCTAAAGAAGTTTAAACAAATGCTTGCCAATGCCATAATATAATATATATTCTTACTCAAAGAAAATTAATTTTAGCTTAAAATTTAAAATATATACTTAAAAGTATAGTTTTTAGGAAACCATAGATACTACTATTAAATATATCATTTATTCTTAGAAACAAATTAAATAGACCAGAATCTGATTACATTTTATACTCCTAATTCCTATAATGCAACTTTCAAACATCAGGTTATATTCACTTTTAATATATTTAAAGCTTAATAATTTAAATGATTTATTCAATTGTTATTTATACTTTCACTCCACTTTGAACATTCTAAAGTACCACGGGAGATTATCACAGTGGTCCTGGTTAAGTCAAATACTAATTACAGACCTTTCAGTTTAGAGGCAAGATTATTTTAAATTACTGAATATAGCACTTAAGGTACCATACATATATGATTATGTTGCTCATTAATGGTTATTGAAAGCAAAAGTGTAATTTTAATGATAGCTACCTATTTTTCTTTGCACATTTTATAGCTGACTGACTAGTCAAAAATGTTGGTTCTCTTCAAAATCTTTGCAGCTGCATCCAAAGTGTTTAGAAGAATGAGAATTGGTCTGAGCTCACTTACTGAACTTTTAAGTCTACTCTTTTTTTCAAAATACACTTTCCGGTTTTTGGGGTTTCTTTTCATTAAACAAAAACACTGAAATGGATTACAGCATTTGAAAATGTTGCCAAATTTTATAGAAGAAAATAATCCAAAACACTTAAATGTTTAAGATCAATCTAGTTGAGTATACTCTGTTAATTCTTTGTAAACATGGGTACCGTAAGATGACTCATGCAACATACTTCATTTGCTTTTTAAAAAAATTAATGGTATTATCATAAATAAACTAAAAAGATTTAAGGAAAATTAGTCTCTCCCTGTCTTGCTAAATGAAAATTTCCTACCACACATGTTATTTAACAGCTTGCAGACATTTCCTGTAAAACGTTCCACAATCAGCACAGAATAAGTACTACATCATACATTTAAAATATAAGCTTTCTTTGTCTTTAAAACTAAAGATTATGATTACTTAAATACATAAAATCTCACCAATGGAATATTTCTTGTCCTCTGCTTATATTTATCATAATAAATATAAAATACTTCAAAGAATTAAGAGATTTTCAGTTTTTTAAACACCAAAGTTTTGTCATCAAAATACATCACAGAAGTTTTCTTCATTTTATACCTGTATGGAAACGAATATATCACATTAAATGTAACCCTCAAAGGATTGTAATAAGGAAAAACAGCAGCTTTTCTTTCTCTAAAACATACCAAATAAGGAGTACAGTTGTTTCTCACAACAATATTAGAGAAAAGATTTCAGAGTTTGCTATATGGGGAAAAGGCTATAAAGTTTTGAAGTGGGAAAAACTGCTTTGTTCCTTCAATCCTCTAGATGAAATTAATTATAGCAAATGTTTATGAAAACATCTGTTCCTTACAGTTATAAATTCTTAATTTTAGTATGGACGATTCCAGACTCTTACTTTGGAAGGTAACTGTCTGACAATTGAAAGGTTTACCAAGGAACAGACAGAATTTGTAATTCTGGAAAATGGTATATACAGTGTGCTATATCCGGTAGAGATTTTCATTTGTGTGAAACACTTGGAGGGGCTTAAAACTGGTAAACAGGAGAGATCAAAGACAAACAGAAAGGCTCATTTTTCATTTAAGCTGTTATACAACAAAAACATATCTGTATCACAAGAAAAGACCAACTAAGAATTAAAAACAAATGCTACTTTATTATCAACCTAATTTGGAGGTAAGTATAACAAAGTATTAATTTTATCAGGATTTTAGTAAGTCTAATGTCAATACAGCCATGGGAAAGTATATGTAGTGTTCCTCAAAAATAACGACAGAGGGTGCAAGAGAGTTTAATATGATGTTTTTAGTTGCTGTTCTGATTCTTGAATTAAGTTGTCAGGTTATAACTGTAACAAGGATACATAGGTTGTTTTTAGACTTTCCCTCTCTCTCTCTCCCAAACACACAAACACACGCACACACACACACACACACACACAGGCAAAAATACATTTTTAAAGTAATCTCACACAAAGGCCTTTAAAAACCAAACAGCACAAATACTTAAATATGTTAACAGAGTTCCTTTCATTTGCTTGAAAAGTAATTTAACAATAGAGTAAATTTTAAAAATACAATTGTGACTTTAAAGGTATTCCAATATTTAATGTAAACTAAGCCAGTAAAATAAAATGGATGTGTTTACTGAGTAAATCTTAAATAAATACATAAACTATATACAATATATAACATACGAATTTTGTATGTCGCTATATGCATGTGTAATTGTACAACATATATATTTGTAGGAATGGTTCATCAATTATCTGTGACCATTACAGTTTGAAATTTACATAACACATTCATTTCTCATTAATTGGTAAGTAACTTTGTGAAATGAGTTCATAACATTCAGAATTAAAATAAGTTGGCTGATTTGAAAAGAATATGCTCATAGTTACATTGTTTTTAATGAGAATACAAACAACATAGTATTTTCCATTAGTAATCCCTAACATATATGTATCTAACTTATTAAAATAATAATATGTATAACGGTGACTTAAATAGGATAAATTAAATTTGGACTCCTTTTTTAGCTCTTACTGTAGTCATGCTTAGCTAAGAGCATTTACAGTATCTATCTGTGCACTGCTGAAACCATGCTGAACAAAGTTTACAGATTTCCAGAGTGCTTTTTATGCACAAATATCTGCTTTATAAGGGGGGGATGAAGATTTTAAACGAGGCTAGGTTAAAAACAACCAGAATAATGCTGTAAGTAAGCACACCTACTCAACTGTGCCTTCTTCAGTTTACATGTAAAAAAAAATCAAGCTTTAGAGGATCACATGGTACTAAGTATGAATTCTGAAAAATATTACATAAGTTTTAAAAAGGCTGATCTCTGAATTGTTAGAGAAATGTCATCATGTATGTGTGATGAATTATTAATAGTAAGGGGAAAATATTTGGTTCAAACTTAAGTTGAAAGCAAACTTATGGATAGCCACATTTTAGTTGTGATAGGATAATATGGCATAAATGAATAGTGTAAACACCTAAAACCTTGTGTGTCTTTTAAATGAATGAGGATTACTACTGAAATGTTTTAGTTAAATCTGAAATCCCATTCAAAGTGAATGATTCAAAAAAAAATCTATAAATTACGTATATTCATTGCATTGACTCAGTTAAGGCAAAGCATAATAACTCAGCATCATCAATGAAATCAGTAGCTGCAAAGGATATTATCTCATTTCAGGAATAAGGTAAACAACAGGCTCTGTAGGCTAACTATTTATGCTAAAAATCTAGGACCACTCATTAGGTTTAAGAGCCAGTGCTCAAGTAAATACAGGAAATTTGTTTATTCAATAATTTTCCATTTTCTCTATCACTGTTAATTTATCTATATTCTAATGATTTAATGGCCATATTTAGTTTTCTACATAATATTTTCAAATTATTAACTTACATAATGAAACTCAGATGTAAAACAAATACATAGGAACTATTTTAAATAAATAACATTTCAAGTGCACAATTTTAATTTAAGAAGATAATACTTCTGTTATTCTTGTTAAATATTGAACAGAATTCTTTTTAAAAAGAAAGCAGAATGACATCAGCAGAGTGGCAGAAGATACAACTCCAAGTTCTCATCCTCCCACAGAAACGTCGAAAAACTAGAACTGTCGGAACCAACTTTGTAATGACTCTGGAAAATAGTCAAAGATTTACAAGAACCAAGTGAACAATGAGCCAAGAAAATGGCAACTGGAAAGCTCTGTGGGGTTTTTACTTGCCTG